TTTTGGTCTTAGTACATGTTGTCGTCATTGCCTAAGAACACAATCGGTACGCCATGGCATTTTAGGAGCAATTCGGCCTCTGTTGAATTAATTCATCAGTACATACACATCAGCGCATGTCTGGCCATAGTTATTACCTTCGGAAGAGTTGAGTAAATCCTGCCTGTACCATATGCGAAATTTATATCCAGAGAACACTTTCAGAGGGGGAGAGAGTAATTTGAATATCAATTCTGGCGAGTTGTAGTTATAGCCAGCTAAGGAATAAATTTTACGATCATTGTAGCGTGGAAAAATCACTTCGTTTCTTTCATTTGTCACCAGGGTTGTTAATTGACTTTCCTTTGCACATCCCCAGTGACTTCCTTGAGGCATTGTATGGTACTGGCAAGAGACAAATCCTGAAATGTAAACCAGCCTCAAGGATACGACATTACCATCGTAAGGGACAGCGAATGCTCCATAGGAGTCATCTTTAGCACCGAAGCATACTCTATTTGGGTTGACTTGGAGCCAAGGAAAAGCTGAAAAGACGCACAAAATATGAGATGTTGATCGCTTGCTCTTGCTCATTCTGTTTTTGCCAATGGTACTTCGCCTAAAGCTTATTATCGCGGACGCTTTTTGTCACTGAGCCAAATCCAATTATAAGTCATATGTAGATCAAGCTGAATTATTTTCACCAGCTGAATAACATCGTTCAGCGATACCAACCCCAGCGAGCTTAAATCATTGTTAGTGGCTTCATCAGGAAACTGGACCGGACTTCGATTAAAACTGATACGTGATTACAATACTGATTTCATTTAACAAAAAAAGGGAAAAAAAAACAAAGAGAAAGAGATGGAATAGGGAAGAAAAGATTCTCCCGGCCAAATAAACTCTGCCTTGTAACTGAGGCCTCCATGTTGACTGTGATGTTTCCGTGTGAAACCAATTAAACTTAAGAAAAATAAACTTTTATTTTGAAAAACCTCATGAAGGTCATTATAAATATCATTTTTACAATTGTAATATTGGTATTATTAATATCAGTGTCATTAATATTCATGTTATTCAAATTTGAGTCCACGCAGTCTCGGCTTTGGAGACTTGACGGTTAAATTTGTGTTATAGATATCAAATCAAATCACTATTATTATTGATAATATTATTATCAATGTCATAATAATAATAATAATTATTATTATTATCAGTGTTATTATCTGTAAGATCATAATGTGGAAGATAATAAATTTTATTGAAAGCAATGTTACCTTTTTCAATGATTCTTGTAGTGCGTTCACATGTATATCCGTTTGATCCATACAACGGACGGCATCTGATTCCACCACAGGGCTTGTTGTCGCATAAGTTCTGAAAAAGGAATAATTCATCAATGTCATTCAATGTTTTTGGATTATGGGTGCTAAAACACTGAAAAATCCGCGTAGCTTTAAGACAGTGATGTTCAAACTTCCCTTGAAGAGAAAGAAAACCAAACTACGTAAATAAAAACCGAAAGTTACGTATTCAGCCTTTGGTAAAGTCATTTCTCGCGGCTGAGAACGAAAAAAGACAACTGGAAGATTTGCCACGGGCCGATTTTGGTCATTTACCTGAAAGATTTCTTTTGGTAGGGACTAAGTCAATAACTGAGAATTTGTATATTTTTCTGTAGTGATTCAACGAATGTTTACTCTTGAGTGGGCAAACTTACTGTATTATTTTCTAGTCAGTAAAGGGCTATTGTGTTTGCATGATAAACAAAATAATACATGGTTGCTTTTACATATGGAATTTCTCTTCACTATGCGCGCCCATGTATTCTCTATTTATTATATACTGAAACACTGGATAGCGTTAAAGGCGCGCTCTGATTGGCTACTCAAATTCCGATTATCCTTTGCTAATCACTTTTGAAATCATATTTTGTGCTATATTATCTCTCTGTTTTAGTATATACTAATACTATTACATCTCAGTATTGGTGGTGAGCAGTGGATATTTACTTCGCCGTCGTGCGCCTATGTAAATATCTCTCATTAGCCACCTATACTTCCGTGAATAGTTGTTAAGTAAATGATGAGGCTTTCCGTAAAATCGCCCTCTGTTCTGATCGGCTGCCGTGATTATTCCACAAGAAATTGAACTAGCATGATTGTAGTTCGATAAATAAAGTACCGTACTTGAAGACCTTGATAGAAGGGGTTTTTTGTAGGTTCACCGGGAAAAGAAAAGAAAATTATACAATCGATGATAAAGAGGTATGGAATGAAAATAAACAAAGAGGAAATGAAATCGGCATTGCTTCTTTGCATGCAGGCCATACATTATTTATGCGAGAAGTTGTTTCTTTTTTTTTCTTTTTTTTTTTTGAAGGTATTACTCGAAACAAATCTTATCATAATGTGCATCTTTCCCAATTTAACTTTGCCAATCAGTGTTATGGGGAATTGTTTCATGGAGCCAGATCCCGCTATTAATGTCTTTGAAGGAGCGAATTTCGGAAAAATTAAAATTAATTTTGCACAAAAGGTTCTTATTACGGTCATCTTTTCATACAGTCTCCATTGTTTGAGAAGTTGTTTTCACTGCGATTTTTACCAATTTCCATCCTTAATAATTTCTTTTTGTATAGGAAACGATTTACGCTACTGATTAATTCAATAGGTGACGGCTTGACCAAACACCATGTGCCTCTTTTTACTGTTTAAGTGTCAGGACACTATGGCAACAGGAGGCACTTAAAAGAACTTATCAGTTGTCGCTCAGTTGAACTTAACACTAGTTAAATTATTTCGCGTGAAAGCGCACGCACCATGTCGGTTCATATTTTCAATCTGATAGTGGTAGCAATAGAAAGAAATGGATGTGTAGAAAAAAACAATGTCAAAGTTAGCCCGGTATTCCTAGTCAATGAAAGAAAAAACTAGGCCGCCCGACAACAAAAAAATTACAGCTCTGCGTTAACCATGGATATGTATGAGCAACATATATTTTTCCTGTCCAGAATAGTCATTAAAGCGTATATTTGAAACCGTTTTTGAAACTCTTGATGTTTTTTTAATTTTTGCCGTTTCTTTGTTTTTGCAAAATAATCTTATGTGAGGACGCATCCATTTTCAACCAGATTAGTTCTTTCTTTTATAAGTAACACATTCATCTTAAAATATTTGTTTTTGTTTTTGTTCTTTCTGAGTATGCTTATTTTCCACGGAATCCTCAATTTCGGTTTGAATAGTATTCGCCTCGAGGTTTTAATCTGAAACATATCTGATATGAGTTTTTAGGTATTATTTTAGCGTTAATAAACTTTTTCCTTACCGCTAAACTGTAGTGACGATAAGAGTTGTTCCAGTTAAGTTTGTTGGGATATCGAAATCTGTCCGCTTTCAGCAGCGCACAGGAGTGTCCCGTTAGATCCGCTTCAACTGCAAAGTTGACAGAGATGCAAAGTTCGTGTCGGATGCAGTGAAGGCCACAGGCCATTGAATCGTAGACTTTGTAAGATGCTAGTTGATCAATGTTTAGCATTCTATTCAAATGCTCGACAAAATAAACATTATTCTTTTCATCAGATCTGCGATATTGTTCACTAGTAGTAATAGTAAAAGCTGTTAGAATTTTGAAGAACTGGAGCAAAACAAGAAACTTTGACATTTTGGATTATTGTTCGACCCAAGCCGGATAGAAATGATCAACGCCAAAACAAGGCCCCCTTTAAAACAGCAATATTTAGTTTATAACCTGCTAATAACATGACAACTAAGAAAAAAAAAGGTGATTGACTTGAATCAGTAGATACAAAATTAGCTATTTTATTGATGTCAGTAACTGATTGGTGCGCCCTCACCTGCTAATGAACATTATTCACTCATCAGCGGGTGAATAATGCGAAGAACACAATGACAAATCATCAGAGAAACTTGCGTTTCGACTCGTTAATGAAGCTGTTCCGTAAAACAGGAGGAATGGCCAGGGTAAGCCTACAGCATTTTACGGAAAGGCGAGAAAAGCCATCAAATATAGTTGCACTCAAACTTAATACCTGAACGTTGTATTCTTCAATGCAGTATGATAAAAACGTTTTGAAGCCTAAATGTGCCATACGAAACAAATTTACATTAGACAAGTTGAACTAGGTCGACAACTGTTTCAAAGGGCTGATAGATAACACGCCTGGACAAAACACGTTAGAATCTTTGCCAAAATCTAGTGGTCTGAAAAGCAGTTTCGAAACAAGTCCTAAATGAGTGTTTGGGGGTTACCTTACGAGAAAATTCTATATATGTCATGCCCTAACTTCTGCGCATATAATGTTCGTTTTTTTTTATGAACCATAACACAGCGGCAAAATTAGTACGCAAGCTCCGTGTTACTGGTCGATAAATTGGAGTTATTGACCAAGCTTGTTCTGTTAAGATGGCTGGATACTAGCTGAGTTCTTAGTAACCGGAGACTAAAATCCAGCCATCTCTGTTATCTATGCAAGAATTATCTCAAGTCAGCAAAATGGGTGTTATTCCCTTGCAAGATTACCTTAATGACCTTCTGATCCTAGGAAATATGTGCCTCAACCATTGTGAATACGAAGCTGTTATGACCTACTTCGAAGTGGACTTGAAAATTATACACTCAAGTATAACGACGCTCTCGGAAAAGCAAAACTCTATCTCCTTGTGGGAACCACACACAAATGTAAGGGTAACTTCGAGCAAGCGAAGAACTATCATGCGCATGCACTGGACATTCATCTGAAACAGCTTGGACCTGAGCATGTATATGTCGCAGCTTCTTACAATAACCTGGATACTGTATACAGTGATCTAGGTGATTTCCAGAAAGGAAAAGAAAACCATGCACGTGCACTAGACATTTAGCTGAAACAGCTCGGACCTGAACATGTAGATGTGGCAGCCTCTTACAATAACCTGGGTATTGTATATAGTGATCTAGGTGATTTCCAGAAAGTAAAGGACTACCATGTACGTGCACTGGAAGTTCGTCTAAAACAGCTCGGACCTGAGCATGTAGATGTCGCAGATTCTTACAATAACCTGGGTACTGTATACAGTCATCTAAGTAATTTCCAGCAAGCAAAGGACAACCATGCACGTGCACTAGACATTTATCTTAAACAGCTCGGACCTGTGCATGTAGATGTCGCAGCCTCGTACAATAACCTGGGTACTGTATATAGCGATGTAGGTGATTTCCAGAAAGCAAAGGACTACCATGCACGTGCACTGGACATTCGTCTGAGACATATCGGACCCTGGCATATAGATGTCGCAACTTCTTACAATAAGCTGGGTAATGTATACAGTGGTTTAGGTGATTTCCGCCAAGCAAAGGACTGCCTTGCACGTACCCTAGACATTCGTCTGAAACAGCTCCGACCTAAGCATGTAGCTGTCGCAACTTCATACAATAATCTGGGTACTGTATTCAGAAATCTAGGTGATTTCCAGCGAGCAAAGGGCTACTATGTACGTGGATTGGACATTAATCTGAAAGAGCTCGGACCTAAGCATGTAGATTTTGCAACTTCTTGCAAAAGCCTGGGTACTATACAGTGATCTAGGTGATTTCCACCAAGCAAAGTGCTACCATGCACGTGCACGGGACATCCGTCTGAAACATTTCGGACCTTAGCATATAGATGTAGCAAATTCTTACAATAGCCTGGGTAATGTATACGGTGATCTAGGTGATTTCCACCAAGCAAAGGTCTACCTTGCGCGTGCACTGGACATTCGTCTGAAACAGCTCGGACCTGAGTATGTAGTTGTCGCAGATTCCTACAATAACCTGGGTACTGTATACAGTGATCTAGGTTATTTCCAGCAAGTAAAGGACAACTATGTAAGTGCACTGGACATTCGTCTGAAACAGCTCGGACCTGAGCATGTAGATGTGGCAGCCTCTTACAATAACCTGGGTACTGTATTCAGTGATCTTGGTGATTTTCAGAAAGGAAAGGATTACCATGCACGTGCACTGGACATTCGTGTGAAACAGCTCGGACCTAAGCATATAGATGTCGTAGCTTCTTACAATAACCTGGGTACTGTATACAGAAATCTAAGTGATCTTCAGAAAGCAAAGCACAACCACGTACGTGCAGTGGACATTCGTGTGAAACAGCCCGGAACTGAGCATGTAGGTGTGGCAGCTTCTTACAATAACCTGGGTACTGTGTACAGTGATCCAGGCTGTTTCCAGAAAGCAAAGGACAACTATGCACGTGCACTAGACATTCGTCTGAAACAGCTTGGATCCGAGCATGGAAATGTCGCATCTTCCTACAATAACCTGGGTACTGTGTACAGTGATCTAGTTGATTTCCAGCAAGCAAAGTACTACCATACACGTGCACTAGACGTTCGTCTGAAACAGCTCGGACCTGAGCATGTAGATGTCGCAGATTCTTTCAATAACCTAGGTACTCTATACAGAAATGTAAGTGATTTCCAGCAAGCAATGGACTACCATGTACTTGCACTGGACATTTGCCTAAAAGAGCTCCGACGTAATCATCTTAAAGTTGGAGAAACTTATGAAAATATTGGTGACGCACACAATGATCAGGGTCACGATGAGGAGGCGAAAAGGAACTATGATCATGCTTTGGCGATTTGTGTTCGAAACCTTGGCTCTGGACACGTTAAAGTTAGAATTATTCAGAATAAGCTGGCTCAATTATAGCAAAATACTCGGACGGCCTTTGTATATGCACACACGCATGTTTGCTCTGTAACCTATGATGAAAATGTTGGATTACAAATGTCAAGCTCAGGCATCTCATCACTAAATAATCTTGATGCATGCATACTTTGTTTCGTGCGAACTTCAAGAGTAATTCATAACAAATTCCGCTATCGATACGATAAGGGTTGATCAATACGTAACCAACACTTTTTGTTAAATCACACCTACTTTAAGGATTTCTTCTCTTATTTTAAACATTTAGACATCTTTAAATTCTGAAGAGAAAGCCGTTGACTGCTTGTTATTGTGAGACATTAAGGTACTTATACTAAAACCACAATCCGATTGATTGGATCTCTTCATTTTCCTGAGTTTTATAGAAGTCAAATTTAATGAAAGCGAACGCCCGTCGTGACGTTTTTTAGGATCTTTAGTAGGACAATTTATAAACAGGGAGAGATTTTCTGTTATGGAAGAGAATACATAATGTATTTTTAATTTTGCAATTTACTTTTTTTCCTTTCAGTATCCTTTTTGCATCCACATTATACCACAGCTTTCACTTAGAAATCTGTGGAGATTAGAATGGCTGCCTTCAGTGTTACTCTGTAAAGGTTGAATTTTTAATTTTATTTCTTGTCCAATTCGGTCACTTGCCGGAAAATGAAATCGGATTCATTGCAAAAAATTAGTTAAAAAAGGGCAATTCATCCAGCAATCACATTCAAGGAAATTTTGACGGTCCTGATTAATACTTGTAATAGGACCGAGTGGAGTCCAATTCGGTCTGTAATCATACGAGTGATTAACAAAATCGGACGACCGCGAGACGAGTATGATTACAGACATAATTGGACGACACGCAGTCCCGTAACCCATCAATCAAAACGATTACAAAATTTTAGAAAGAAACTAAACATCGGTTATACGTTTTTTAAAAGAAACAACAGTTAACTTGGTGAAATGCGAGATAACAGCGCGCGCACACGACGCGTTCTGTTAACTTACACGGACATGACGTGTCAACTGTCCCTTTAACTGTCTTAATGCATTGTACATTTACAAGCATGACGCCTACTCTGTCCTATTAGCTCAAATCGGACTGGTGATAACCAATCACGTTCAAGAATTTTGTTACAGTTTCATTATTTAATATGAAATTAGTCATATTTTCGTAAGTAAAATTTTACATCGCAAAGCTTCACCATGCTTTTATCAATTACAATAGACTTTTAATTTTTTTCTTGCAGTGTTTTCTAACTACACCTGAAACACAGTTTCTTTGTTTTGAGAACGCTACCAGCAAAAGTAAAAAATCAAAAGAAAACAAACTGGCTTAAACGTGATTGAATTTTTAAAATCGAGATTCTTGGTAAGCTTCGTAGCTAGTTGAAATGCTTAAGAAAGATTAATTGATATTCTTCGTACGGCCATTTTCGAAAAAATCTAGTCGCGCACAATGATACATTTTTGTTAATAGAATACAAAATTTTCTTTAGAAATTGGAAAGGGTATGAGAGAAAGCTCTTCGTTTTTCACTCAAAGGGCGGCCGATGTAACTTCTGAGCCTTTCTCCCTTACGATGAGCGGAGATCGCAATGAGGGACCTAAGCATGATCGCAGTCGCTCTGACACCAACGTAATTAGTATGAATTTTTATATTTATGCTAATTTGGCTATGTTTTTCATCTTTCCTGTTTTGTTTTGTTCTGTTATTTTTTTATTTGAACACGAAACTATACATACTATACGAGTGCTAAATGTGTTTGATTCTTGTTTTCGTACATGAAAACCTTCAAAACTCGGACTACCCATTTACTTTTGTCTCTGAGGATCACGTTATAATAACGTAAATTAGCGTTCTTATTCAACTCTTGTCAGACGATAGCCAAAGTTCAAAGCCGAGTTAAAACTATACTGTATTAGTTCCAAACGCTATCCTTCTGAAATAGAAATAACTCCATCGTTGTTGCATACTGATTTTCTGTTTGTAAACACTCGCCTCATCTGCAAATATCCAAGTATACAAAATAAACACAACTTCCAATAGCCAAGGTGTTATTGATCCCTCTCGTTATTTTTATTTTATCATAATAATGACAGTAATAATCCAATTGAATACAGCATTTATATTATTATCTAATTACTAAGAACGAAAATTTTTAATCAACCTCTATGAGCTGAATGGTGCTATTATAACTTGCACCTTCTTTGATATGCCAATGGATCAATTTGCTAAAACTTCACTAATTAAAGTTTTCTTATCTCATATAAGCACATAGGTTATTATTTTTGTTTTTAATGAGGGTCAACATGTTATATAATCCAATGAGTCAGAAAGCATGCATTTTCTGAACTCTGCAGAAAATATGAAGAAAAACCTGGTATTGTTCTAATAATGAAGCACATAATCAAGCAGGAAAATTGAGCAAGCATCAAATCAAAACTCTTGAAAACCACTTTGGAGTCTTTTGTCACGGTATTTTCTAACAGACAGAAAGAATCCTACACTACTACAAACCGAACTACGTTGTTAAACAATGCGTAAAAATGCTTACTAAGAAGCGACTCCTTTAGGCGATACCGTGATTATCTTCTACAAACCACTGCAGACTGTTCCTTAGTTCTCCACTGACACAAACTCACTGTTTTTACCCAATATCTTTTAAATGCACAATCTTTGATGTACATCATAGTGGCTCTCTCTCTCAGTTTAGCTTGAAAGGCATAATTACTACTAGATTACTGAATTCTTGACACGTATTTTAGAATATTCCGCCGGCCAAAAACACTAAAATTCTGGTAGAATGGCATCATAGTTACATAACCTCCAAGTCACTGTGAAAGGGCATTCTAGAAGTTAATATTTGATAATGACTTCCCATAACAATTCTTGGTATTACATCCTCTCGTTATAAGCCAATTAACACAATTCAATTACTTAATTCTACCTTTAATGCGCTTCCCATCTCCAGCTGTCTTAATTTGCCCTCAAAAGACTCCTCATAGCAGGTGTCTTAAAGGATCCCAATCAACCGCATGGGTGTTTTTGTTTAGGTGAGGGAAAGTTGAAACTTCTTGTGACTGTAGACACGATCCATAAGATGGTGTCACTGATATGTGAAGTGGCCATGGAGACCATATCAGTCATGGATATGAAACACTAACTCATAAACCATTAAAACATCAATTAAATTGTCTAAATCTGAAAACTTATAACTTATCGTTAGAAAAAAAATCGTTTTTTCAGGGATTTTTTTTTAAAGACAGCCAAAGATCGAGTGAAATTTGGTTTAACTAAGTAACGTACACAGATTGGTTCAATATAATTAAGTCCTCGTTTACCTCTAAATAGACGCAAAATTAACAACACTGTTTTTTTCTATCTAGCATCTCATACGCTTAATAAAAAAACAAAGACGAGATGATCGATTTCTAATTTCCATTTCTTCTCGTTAGATTGTTTAGAATTCAAAACAAAACAGTTTTTTTTCTATCTTAAGTATCTTATACGCTTAATAAAAAACAAATGACGAGATTACAGATTTCTAATTGCCATTCCTTTTTGTTAAATTGCTTAGAATTTATAATGATTTCCTCGAATTTAACTGCCTACAGTTTTGTTTCCTCTTCAAAAGTGTGTTCTTCATTGATATCTTCGGTAGCCGAAGGTGACTTTTGACGCATTGATCTTGATTTTTCCCTTTTTCTTTTAAAAAAAAACAAACAAACAAACAAAACAAAACAAAACAAAACAAAACAAAAGTAAAACAAGGAAAAGAAAAGGAACGCTCAATCGCTATAATCTTGCAAAAGAATTATTTCGTAAAAAGCCCCGTTCTGTCATTTAATCAGTCGGTCAATCAGTCAATAAAATAAACTATCAATCAATCTTTCGGTTGGCTGCTAGGTTGGGCACACAGTTGTTCTGGCGATTGTTCAGCATTCGTTCAGTCAGTCGGTCAAGTAGTCAGTTTGTTGGTTTATCAGTTGCTCAGTCATTTTTGTCAGTAATTCAGTCAGTCAGTCCGTCAGCTGGTTAATCAGTGAGTAAGGAAGTTAGTGAGTCAGTTAGTCAGTGAGGTATGTCCGCTAGCGACAGTCACTCTTTCAACCGTTTAGCCAGTAGGTTGGGAGCTAGCTAGTTTCAAATAAGTCAGTAATTCAAATAATTCAGCAGTTAGTTTGTCAGTGACAACGTCCGTCAACTTTGTTATACGGACAGTTTATATCACTGGAGGAATTTGAACCTATGTATATCCCCCTTCCCACCACTTACTCCTTTCCGGTGGAATGCCTGAAGTTACCGTTCCCTCTTTTCAAACTCTTGTTCCGTTTTCCTAACATTAAAAAAACAAAGTAAAAGAATTACATATTTGATAAGGTACTTAATGCGCTGTGGCAATTGCTTAACTTGATGAAACTGGTTAACGACACTCTAAATGTAAGAAAAACACAAATAAATAGATAACTGTAGGGTAATCCGCGAGGTAATGCTGGAGAAATAAACCGAAATAAACCGGCTGCTTTCGTTTTGTTTTGTTGGTTTGTTTGTTGTTGCTGTTTTATTTTACCGAGGTATTCCAAATAAATTCGCAAAAAAATTTGTTTATTTCATAAAACGGCAGATAAAGGAAAAAATGAATAAAAATAAGAACGAAAAAATTACAATTTTTTTGCAAAATGTCGGCGAAACAAAGAGGATAGAATAATAAAGTGGAAGTAATTATTACATGAAAAACTGTTTTTTTGCTAAAGAAATTTACATCGGGTATATTTAATGGCCTTCTCTTTTCTATCGAAACTCATCAAAATTCGCAACAGAACATTGGACTTTTTGCGAAACAAACCCAAAGCTAAATTAAAAACGGATAAAAGACCCGAAATACCCTGCTTTCGTGGTCGTGACATTTCAATTACCAGTTATCAGACACTTGTGATATTACACATAATAGATTTATGTCAAACTTTGGGATTTCTTAAGTGTTTGGTCTTTTTTATCTTTTGCTTGGCAATTTTCTTGAAAGAATTGCATAAGAATGTTAAAGCTCCCAAATGAGAATTACGTGAATCTATACTCAACTTGATGTTTTCATACTTATTGCCGTTCATTTTGGCCGCCACCTGTTATGCAAAATCTTAATTTATTGCGCCCAAATTTCGTCCATTTGCATTAAAAAATTTCATCTCTTAGTCCTGTTTGAGGATAATTGATATTCTTTGATTTGACCACTAGTTATAGTGGTAAGAAAGCCAACTGTGAAATTAAAAATTTACTTCATTTAGAGCTTGGCAATACCTAAGGGAGGTAATGAGACTCTGAACTGATCGATACGAAGGAGAGCTTAATAGACCTTAGAAGGTTTGTCTATCTCTACCACAGTAACACTGAATGAGTTGTCAAACAAACAAAGAATAGCGGCCAATTTTCTAAAAAAAAACAAGGTTGGCTATACATTTTTAATAAAGAAGGTAAGACAAGTTACCTTGATTTAGATCAGTATTCTCAATAGGTGCCGGTTCGATTCTTTCGGCTTCATCAAGTACTCCTTGAAACAAAAAGGTAAACACTGTCTTTCTTTTTATTTTAAACTAATGAACAATATTGTACCTTATTTTCCATTATCTAATTGTTAGTGATTGTTTCAGAATCAAGTCAGACTATTTTGTTTTTCTTTATTTCAAATAATGACAACAACTGGAGACAAAATAACAAAGAAATTTTTCAAAACTTTTAAACCTTACAAAATTGTGTTAGAACACGAGATCCGTAGAATTTAGAACTAACGTAATGAACGACGAGGGGTGGATAACTATAATAATGTAAATGAACTGTATTGATTTGTGTGTACGAAAATATCCATCTGACCCAGATCCCTCCAGAAGTAGAAAACAAAATAAAAACTACCATTAATACAACATATTGTAGAGTCTTGGCAATACAAGCTAACAGAACAGCAACGAAAACTTCAGTACGGAGCTTTTATCTACATAAAGATGACATTAGAGGAAAAACTTTAGCCTACCCTGTTGTGGATGACGCACATCAACATGAGCCAGTTCGATAACTACACCCTCGACTTCCCCTTGAAAAGTATTGTCAATAAAAAATATAGTCAGAGATTGCACTGTGTTGTCATTCACAGTTTTCATGTCCGTTCTGTGTTCACTAGAAGGAAAAAATGTCTTACCTCCCAAGCCGCCATGTTGTTCAATGTCTTCCATGCCCTGTGGGTTCAGTTGTTCTCCATCTCCTTGGCCTTTTTAAAGAAAGAAAAAGAAAAAAATTGTGAACGAGCCAAGAAACAAATAAGTGATGGAACGAAGGATTTTTTGTGACGAACGCAGAACGAGATCTACAATTTCAAACTACTAAAACGTAATAGACAAGAAAGGTTGAGTAATTAAAATGATAATGATAAAATTTTTTTGTGTGTATGAAAATATCCTAACGTCATAGATCCTTCAGTTATAGAGGAACAGAAGTACAATATAAACTAACAGAACAGCATTGAAAACTTGACATTGAATTAGAAACTCTAACCTTACCCTGTTGTGGATAATGCACACCAACACTCGCCAATTCGATATCTTCACCCTCAATTTGTCCTTGAAAAGAGAAAGTAGATAAAAAATGTACACAGACTAACCCTGCGCCCTCGTTTGAACTTTGTATGATATGTTAACTGACATCTGAAAGTTTTTTACCTCCCTGGCCCCCATGTTCTATATTTTCTTCCATTCCGTGCTGGTTAACTTGCTCTCCCTCTCCTTGGCCTTTAATTTTAAAATTTAAAAAAAAAAAAGAGAACATAAAAAGAAGAGAGAAGACATAAAAAAATATTTTTAGTCACAGATTGCCCTTTATTTCCCTCGTTTATAGTTTTCACGGTCTTTCTAGAAATACGGGTAAGGATTTACCTCCCTCGCCGCCATGTTGTCCATTGTCTTCTGCTCCCGGTTGGTTCGGTTGTTTCCCATCTCCTTGGCCTTTTAAAGAAAACAACGAAGAAAAGTCAATGATCGAGTCAAGAAATATTTAGTTCGTACAACAAACGAATCGACCAATAAAAGAACGGACCGAACGAGCGAGTAAATGATTAAATGAATGCCTCTATGCATGCATGAGTGAATTGATTTATGACTGAGTGACCGAATGAACAAATCAATAGATCAATAAACTGTGTTTGCAGCAATCTGTTAGTTTACATCGTTTTTCGGTTTATTTCTTATCAGGAGCTGATAATTATATCGCACCTTCCTGATCCCGACCACAGCAGGTGAAAACGGTCTTCAAGTAGTTCCAGACTTTTTCCATTTTGTTCTTCAGAATGCCTCTGGCCTGGATACAAAATAATCGAGATTTCGCTCACTGTCTTAAGCTGAGCTCCGATGACAAAATAGAAACTGACGAATTTCTGTTGTCCAATGCTTTTGAAACATTGTCAGTGTCCATTGCAAGTGAACAAAGCAGCCTTGATCAATATTATACACTGCCTATAGTCGGCTGAAAACCATTACCCTTCCTGTACCTAGCCATTGTAAGTCTACTTACGGATTTTATTATCTTGACTACTAATAATGGATTAAAAGCGCATAACGCACCTGTTCTGTTGACAAGGTGTACAGGATAGGATTCAAGGCCGAGTTGATCGGAAGGGCAAATACAGCGATCCAGACAGCGAGGTCTCCTCGCGCTTCGTAAGACTTCTCGATGATGGTCCTCATACCAATCACTATCACCGGCATCCAGCACACACAATCACTCAGGATGATGAAGAACACCCGCCTTGCAAGAGCCGTTTCCTCCTAAAGTTTGCTCTTCTGGCCTGGATCTCTCTTTCAGTACCCTGACGGGCCAGTCGCCGGCTAGACAAGTAAGACTTGACTAGTATCATGAGATAAGCACCCATGATGAACAAGAAAAAAGAAAAATTCAAAGCGAGAAAGATAGCAACAGAATACTCCCAACCTGCCGGCTTATCAGAAGTAAGCTGCAAGGGTAGACATACCACACTTCTACCATAGTAACTATGGTACCTGAATGGGTCTTCAAAATACTGAATACCAAACATAGGCAAAAAGGCCATAAGGAAGCCAATTGCCCATATGATGATGCACAGGATATGTGTTGCTTTTGGTTTCAGAGAAGCACCTTGGTAAGGAAACACAATATTTTTAAGCCGATCAGCAGATATCAGTGTCATCATCATAACCGAAACCTCACTTGACAGAAGGGAGATCGCTCCAATTATTTGACAAGACAAACCAGACCTCCACTGGAAGTCATGCAAGTAATACTCTCCTCTCCACAACAGATCTTTAGTGCCAAGAGAGATCAGGTAAATACCCATCAAACCATCGGACACTGCTAAGTGGAGCAACATGATGGACTGAACCACGTTCTTTTCTTTAAAGATCACTCGCCAAGTGACAACAAACACTGCACCAACCAGAGAAAATATTCCTATCACCCAGATACTCTTCCTTGGGGCAGAATTCTTAAACATGCTCTCACAGTTGGCAAAGTCGTCGTTGTACGTGAAAGCACAGTCAGCGTCCTCCTTGTGCATATGACAACACATCAGATTTGTGTCGAGACTCCTGCAATTGTAAAATATCATCCACTGAGAGAAGTTATTTCATTAAAACTTCACAGATCTTGTCGACAAGAACTTGCTTTTAAGAATGTATCAGTAGCTGATGGCTGGAGTTATTCATTGACTTCTACAAAATATTTTTTTAAGAATCCAAGTCTTCAATTCTTTTTGCAAAAATTTAAATTTCTCAAAGATGTTGTCTACTCAGAATATATAGCTTTGCTCAAAAATTAACAATTTGCGAATGAATTTTATCAAAATCTTACACTCGCTGTATATCCTTCAACATATCGAAAAAACCATATGGAATCTCCCTCATCTTGTTGTACTGCATATACCTGGAAATTAAATTAGGAGATTAAAATGTAGTGATCAAAAGCCGCAAAACTCCACAACAAAAATTAATCTATCAAATAAGCTCTCTTAATCCCACAATGTCAACGAAGTCTTTCATTTAACTAATTTATTCGTGTTTATTTCGTGATCAGGTTCCCTCTAATCGCGAAGCGTCTTTTCCTGTTTCTAAACCACTTACAACTTACAATTCCTCTATTCTTGTACGAAGGGCTAATGCTCAGGGGTCCGCTTTTGAGGCTATTCAGGGTGGCCAATTTACATCTCCAACTCACTTGATAATAATTAAATATTGGATAAGATTGGTCATGATATTATCATAATGCTGAATTCTGAGTTATCTGCCGAAACCGGAGGCTGAGGCATTTAAAGCAGACACAGGGTTTTGCAGGACGTTACACTGACGAGGGGGTTGGAAACTAGTCAGACTTTCAACTCCACATGATAACCCAATACCTGATGGATATATCGGTTATCATGTCAACTTCACACGCTTTGGTATATTGACTGTACGCTCTCAACCAATCAGAGTTTCGATGTAGAATGACACCAAATATCTTGAAATGCCCTGCGCCGACGCAGCACTAAAGTTTCTTTACAAACTTACTCCCACTCAGCAAATAATCAATCTGCTGTCAGGAAAGCATTTCCGGTGAGTTGCAGATAACGTAAGATGCTTTTACAATAAAAGCATCGATTTGAAGTGTTTTCATAATGTTTCAATTGTCAAATATTGCACCTTAAGGTAACAAGGTCCGTTTCACAACTTGGTCATCGCTTGATTAATTATAACACTCACAGAATTTTTAACTGTTTAATTTCTTTGAAGTTGTCGATGGAGACATGTGTCATTTCGTTTTCAACAATTTCTCTAACAAAAAGAACTTAATCAGTAACAGGGAAGGTAAAATATTTCGACATTGATGTGTAAATAATCATTTAAAGATGAAATTAAATGCATTCAAATGTGATGATCGTTATAGGTTATTTCAAAGCTTATTACTCACTTAAAGAATTTCATAGTCTACTTACATAATCAAAAGCTCTTTTAAGCCTTTAAAAATTCCTTGTGGGAAGTATCTGAGTTTGTTCCCCGATAGATAGCTAGTGAAGAAAGGAAACAAATGAAATGAATGCTGGACATAATGGATTAAAGAACGGGGCATTAGTAATCGTTTTCATAGGAATCAAAGGGATCATGAGAATGCTCACTAACGTTTTGCAATATTATTACGAGAAAATTTTGGAGAAAGATAATTGATGGGCTGGGAATCAGGAGATTTCTTTGAAGGCGTATCGTCAGGCATGAATTGCAAAATTTCCAAGGATGTATAACAAAATAGACTTGGTACTGAAAAGCCACTCGCGTGATGTATCGTTAGCATCAACAAAAAGGTCCTACATAGACCCTTATCATCATGACTCAAAATAAGAAATTCCAGGAAATGAAAGGATGTCTTAAAAACATGAAAAGGTTGATCGGAGTAGACATTATTCCGCTTGCAGTAATGAACAAATTCAGCAGTCAGGCCAAAATATGTTACCTGCACGATAATATGTTTTTACTTTTGATAGATGCCTAGATTCAAAACTTGTGGAATACATAAATGTTAACGAACTACTTACAGGTCAAACAGCTTTACCAGTCCCCGAAACTGTTGAGGATGCAGCTCCTTTATCGCATTATTTTCAATTTTTCTGTTGAATTGCAAATCACGGATATTTACTTGGCCAGTTTTCTTTTAATTTAAACGTTGAATGTTATTTCAGTGGTCGGTACTTAGAGTACCTTTTGAGTGAGTGTCCAAAAGCAAGAGCCGGAGTAATCACAATAACCAATCAAGCAAAGGGAGGCTAAGGAACCAGTGTACATTAAAAGTACAAACAATTCAAGCACAAAGCCTTACGCGCCGGAAAATGCGAGTTATCAGGTGACGTTTGGATTTTGGTTTGGTGCCCGATTGGTTGATAGGGTGGCACAGGTTTTTAGATTGATCAGAGAGGGAATAAAATAAAAAGAGAGAAATCTTCGATTTATTTTGGCAATTTATTAAATCAACTGAATGAATCTGTCTTTGACCTCAATAGCTCCAGAATTATCGAATTCAAAAGCAATTCTTAGAAAGTCCCCCTAAACAACTACATCTTCGTACTTTACATTGGCTATCTTTTGAGATGTGCTGCAAATGTTTTCGTTTTCTTTTTTTTTTTTTTATCCCAAAAATTCATCATTCCATCAATCGATCAATCGACTATTAATTAACAAGAAAGGATAATCCTCCTTTACAATTATTCAGTCATTCAAACCATTTTTCACTACTCACATTGTCTTTAGCTTGGTTAGGTTAGCAAATACCGTTGGCGGTAAATCTCTTAGTTGGTTGTTTGATAAAAGCCTGCAACAGTTAAACACACACTACCTTGAACTGTAAAGCAGAACTGGATTCCCGTAGATAATGATGGCAACCGATAAGATCCAAATAACGATATGCTTACATATCTGTGTAATATAAATATGCGTGTTTTTCATTCATTCAGTGAGACACGTTTTAATGAACAGTTTTAATTAGATCAATTCGAAGGACATTTAGAGTGATAACATTTAATGAAAACTCGATTTAAAGTTCAAAACCTCTATTTTTGTGTATGTGCGTTGAAATTTAGACAGAAACGCGGAAAGTTTTGCCGCTCGACAAATTTTAGAGAGAAAATTTCTTTTCTCGTCGTGCTTTTAATTTTCTTTTATTTCTTTTTCTTGTTGACTTACAGTATTTTGAGATTTCCCAGATTGCTGAAGATTTCTTGAGGGAGATCCTCGATTTCATTATTAGACAGATCCCTGAAAGTTTCAAGGTAAAATGCATTAGTCTTTCAAAAAAAATAACGCCATCCGAAATGTAAATCCCACAAAAAGTGAAACAGTAGGAAAACACTCTGAATTCTTTCGCTGGGTTTCACGGGCACTTGTAGCATGCTATGTTGCTGTAACATTATAATTATGATGAAAGTGCACCAAGCTACTGTGGATAGTTTTCATGCTCTTTACTCAAGTAACACCAACTGATGGGAGGGAAATGATGTAGAGTAGTGCAACCCAATACTAATGAGGAACGCCCACTGGTCAGAACCCGAGACCAGTGAGTTTCGACGCTATAAGCTTTCGGTAAACCTGCCTTTTATGATGTACAATCGTCTTAGGATTGCCATGTTGCAATTGATTGTGACATGGTCACTTGGCCTCTTTTATCATCTCTGATATAAGGAACAGAAAATTGATAAAGAGCCAACACTTTTATAAACACATTGTATTGTATTGACTAAACTCACAGGTCGTTCAGTTCAGTCAAATCTTTGAAAACTTGTTTGTGCGGCGTTTCAATTCTGTTGTCTTGCAGCCATCTGAATAAAAGTTGGAATGATGCGACAATCCTTTTTATTTAGTTAAATTTGTAATTGCATCGTCTAATTTGGGTGTGTTTCCAATACTTATATTAGTATTACATAATACTGATCAACATCTTGACCTTTTTTTAAGTTGATTTTTGATAGCTTTCGATAATTTTGAAGCTGGCAACCTCGTTTTCCTATGGTGTTTCGTTTGTGCAACACTACTGTTATTAATTGATTTAGTGTTTGGAACAACCACCTTGCGATACTATTTTTTTTTTTGTATTGAAAGTTTCCTTTCCTAAACTCACAGGCGCGTCAATGCTGTTAAACCGTCAAACAAACCCTTCTGTATCTTTTCCAGGTCGTTGTTGTTGAGTTGTCTGTATGAGCAGAAAATTTAAAAAAAGTGCTACAATTACTCTAATTTGAATCAGTTGAAATAAAATTATTTGAACCGATTGCCTGTCTAAAGCTTATAATTTAGGAATTAACAAGTACTCAGTGAACTCGAAAGTAGTTCTAGTTCAGTTCATTCGAATTCAATACCACCCTTGTTTAAATTTTACTGCATAATACATTTGGCTTGGCCTTTGGAGCACCTGATGGCTTCTTGTCTCTCCTAAGATTTAGTCATTCATCTTTTCAATCAGTCACTGATTGTGGGCGTTTGCAATCGGTTTATATGCTACGCAGATATTTAGGGTTCAAGGATCTGCTTGATGAAAATGGAATATGCATTATTTGCATTAAAATGTGTGTTGTGCCACTTGTCAATAGTTGGAGGACCACTTTCACTTACAGCCACTGCAGCTTGACTGATTGGGAAAACAAATCGTCAGGGAACTTCTTGATCTTGTTACCTTCTAAAAACCTATGCGTGTTGAAAACTTTGTCTTACCATTAAATGGGGAGGTATTTAAATCCCGTTCTCTTTGACTGAGGCACTGGTCTAAGAAGGAACCAGCTTACGAGAACCAAGAACTCTTCCCTACATTTGCTAAAGGTTGCATACTAGCTACGCGCATTAAAATAAAACACGTTAATCAGAGGAAGGGGAGAAGGGGGGGGGGGGTTAGAAATGGGATTTACATAACAAGGAGCACCGAAAATGAAACTGAAAGAATTCTTCAATGAGTATATTTACTTTTGTTAACTCTGTCCATCCACAAAAAATCCCTTCTCATGGTTGACTTAACCCTCTATAAGCTCGAGCACTGTCTTACGAGTTAAATATTTTTTTGTTTCATTTAATTTTTTTGTCTCATCTTAAGGTTTGACGCATAACCCTAGCAGGGAAAGGTTTCCCTCTCAATATACTGTTGCAAGTTACTATTCTCTGACTGACGCAGCTAATTAAAAAGCTAGCTGCTTATAAATGTATCAAAACGTGTAGTGATAGATACTATCAATTACAATAAATAAGAATCGATGGTATCGAATATGGACCTATGAATGTGTTACTTACAGCTTAGTCAACTCGGTGTTTTTATTGAAGACTCCTGGCGGTAGCTCCTCTATCTGGTTGGTACCCAAGACCCTGTAAGAAGATTTTTTCTGGATTTGAATTTAAAGTCTTTTGTCTGGTGATCT